AAAATTTTACATAAAAGTTTTAAAAATTATTAAACTTCATCAAAATTCATAAATTTTTAAATCTATTATAATCCTTTAAAATCTGAATGGAGTAAAAAATTCAAATCTAAACCTAATATGAAACAATCACTAAATTACATAGAATTTCTAAACCAAATCTAACAAGGATCAATTACAATTCTAATACGATGTTGTAATTACTTGGAGTTTTTTAGGGCAATATGTAACACCCACCCCCATTTATAAAGATATATTTGTGTAATTATCCCCTAAACATTTTAATATATCAAATTGGTCCTCTTTGACTACCCAATCAAGATCCAAAACATTGGATCCCTTTCTTTCTGAAGTGGCCACGTGGCAGCCCCCCCTCCACTCTTCTCTTTTCTCTCTCTGTTCCCCCGTGACTCCTTTCTTCTTTTCTTCTTCTTTCTGTTTTCTTTTCTTTTTCTTCTGTCTCCCTCTCGGCTCTCGGCTCTCTCTCTCATATCTCCCTCATCTCTCTTCTCTGCACTGCAGCACACACGCACCCATCTCCCTGCGCGAGGAACATCACCATCACCATCTCGTCCTCATGGCCGCGCTCCACGCCCTTCGGCACCACCGGCCGTGTCAAAGGCGTTATGTTGACTCACTGCAATTTCATCGCCTTTATGGCTGCGCTCCACGCCCTTCAGCGCAAACCTAACCCGACCCTACCCGACGGCTAAGGCGTGTTGCTGTTCACGCTGCCTCTGTTCCACGTGTTCGGGTTCTTCGTGGTTCGGGGCGGTGGCTACAGGTGAGACCTTGGTTTTGATGAAGCTCTCTGGTTCGTCTTCGACTCGAAGATAACAAGTTTTCAGGTGAGATTCCATTGAAATTCAGCACTCTTACCGACATCACATATGTTGATTACCTCTTGCATGCGTGAAATTTGAACCTTATATGTGAAATTTAAGTTCAAAATCATGTTTTTGCAAGGTTTTTGGGACGAAATTGGCTCAGGAATAGGCACACCATCTCCGGCGTTCTTCTTCGATTGCACCGTTCAAAAAATATCGCGATATTTCCAAAATATCGCTATATTTTGACGAAAACCATTCGGATACCTATTTAAATATCCATGGCACGAAAAACCGATAATATCGGCGATATTTCGCCGATATTATCGGCATTTTCTTCCATGGTCATGACTTGTACCACCAACCCCTGATTAAATTGAATCCAATAGTTGCTTGGGATGCGAAAGTTCCATTCTATTATGAAATCATAGGATTTTCAAATCATTTAGGACATTTAAGCATCATCTCACAAACATGAAGTATAAATGAACAAAGAAACAAACCATCAGACAATTAAGTAAGATGCATCACAAAAATTCAACTTAAAAAAAAGGGACAGGTTGACGATAACAGACTAACCTTGTGCAACGCAAGATCAAGCAAAAGCAACTCATCAATCTTTTTTAACTCAGAATCAGCACTGAAAGCACCTCCTGTATACATCTCAGTTGAGGTGGGTAGGATTTGAACAAGTAATTTTAGATGCTCAAACCTGTTTTGTACATGTTTAGGGCAAGAAAGATTGATAGAAAAAATATAAGCGCAAAATATTGAAGAAGGGTGTTGATTTACTTTTGTTTGTATTCGGAGAGCTGTGCAACATCCGGATTGAAAAAAACAAACGGTTGATCGTATGTTTCCGAGAACAGACTTTCCTATGGATAAAATATAACAATCAACAAATTGAAATTTGAAGCAGCTAATAAAGTATGTCGGAGTATAACCTTGGTATTGTTTTACTTTGAGGGCAACCAAAGCAACGAAGATGGGTGGCAAAAGTGATTACATTCCACTATCCTCAAAACTTATTGCAGTTTCTCGCTATAAGGTGATCCTTATTGTTTCTCCTTTGTAATTAATAAAAAAAGGCAATAGTTTTCTATATTTCATAAATACGGTGAGGTGAAAATTGCAATCATAATTTAACATAAGAACAATTTACCTGATATTTTGGAGGTTAAGATTTCTTTTCTTCGTAATTCTTGTGCTCTAGATAGTGACTTCTTCACTCAATTGTATAGCCGTCAAGCAAACAAATACATCTACAAATGATGTTTAATAGCGGGAATGAGTATACACTCAGGTAAACAAAAAACTTAAAATAATCATCTCAGATTTTGCAGTGGCACTTAAAACTAAATTTGTTACCTGTAAGCTCGGCATCCCTGTCAATTCTCTTATGAAGCTTAAATAACTCAATTAAATTGAACCACTGCAATGAGATTTCTTGGCTTGTTTTGTCAACATTAATGATTGTAGATTTCTTATTCAATTCAACTATGGCAATATGAGGGACAACCTTTCTTGATATCATGTGGTAGATCCAATCGAACAACCCCAAAAAGTGTTGTGAAACTTTTTCATTCAACGAAACTTATTCATTTGGCGAATTACTATGATTTTCAGGCAAATACAGCGTGGACCACCAACTTGTTTCGATTTGCACCTTTACCATAAACAGGTAAACCCATCCTTATTTCTTCTATTTTTAGTGTTCTCGATGCACGAGGTCCTGGAGCAGTTTCTGAATATGCCAATGCTGTCCCTCGAAGTTGTTCACCTTTTCGAGTCTTAACCAGTTTTCTTAATTTTTTTTACCAAAACTCTTATTAGAATTTGTTGTTCTTTTCGATCAATTTCTTTCACCATTTTATTTACCTTGAATCATATATTAAATATAGCATAAATATTTATGTTTTAAAAAAAAATCCTTTTTAGCATGTAGGTTGAAGAGCAACACTGTCAAAAATCTTAAAAACTCAAATTAATAAATAAAAAAATACATAAAAGTTTGCGAAAGTCAGATAATTAATAAAGAAAATGTAACCAAAAACCATTTTGATAGTTTTTTAGATCAAATTTGGAAGTGGTAGTTGACAAAGAAAATACATAGATTAATTTTTTGTGGATTAATAATACCTACAGGTTGAATGTAAATATTCCTGATTTTTTCTGAATATGTAAGTTGAGTTCATGTATTGTTAAAAGGCTATTCATTTTCTTAAACATGTAAGTTGCAATTTTTTCTGAAATATTTCTTGTTCGTTGAGAGTGTACTTATCAACAACACTCATTAAAGCATTTCGGGGAGGATGAGAGAGTCTACTCCCAGAAAAACCTAATGAAAACACCAACCAACCAAAGCAACTGACCTTTGAACAACAATTTTAAAAATTGAAAACATAAAAAAGAAAGAAGGCAACTGACAAAAAAAAATGTAAAATGTCTAACAACATTTTATAAAAAAAATAAAAAAATAAAGAATACTTCCCATTTAAGCAGCTAATAAGGACCAAAAAGTCCATATGGAAGTTTTTGGAACCCAGCACGCCTAATTTGGAGTAATCCTATTCTCAAAGCAGCAACTTTAGCACACATGAGGGTGTTCTGCTTGCTTAGCGCAAGCAACAACCATTAGGATCAAATATTCGCAGTTTAGGTACCACTTAGAGTAGATATATAGTTAACTATACAATTGTGACCTTTGCTCAAGGTTAAGCTTAACTTTAGGTGATGTAACCACTTTCACTTACCTTTAATCAAATCCAACAATGTCCTCAACTGCATTTTCACTCATATATATAACATCTCACATCAACCAACGGAAAGGGAGTGATGTGCCTTATATGTGCATGCCCACCTCCATATAGTATGAGGCATTTTGGGAACTCACTGGCTTCGGATTCCATCGGAACTCCGAAGTTAAGCGAGTTCAGGCGAGAGCAATCCTAAGATGGGTGACCAATTGAGAAGTTCTCGTGTGAGTTCCCAGAAACAAAACCGTGAGGGCATGGCCAAGGTCCAATGCGGACAATATCATGCTACGGTGGAGCCAGGACTGGGATGTGACAGAATAGTATCAGAGCCACTTTTCCGTGTGGTGCAAGTGTACTGACGAGGACATTGGGCCCCTAAGGGGGGTGGATTTTAACATCCCACATCGACCAACGGAGAGGGGGTGATATGCTTTATATGTACATACCCACCTCCATATAGCACGGGGCCTTTTGGGAACTCACTAGCTTCGGATTCCATCGGAACTCTGAAGTTAAGCGAGTTCGAGTGAGAGCAATCCTAGGATGGGTGACCCATTGGAAAGTTCTCGTGTGAGTTCCTAGAAACAAAATCATGAGGGCGTGGCTGAGGCCCAAAGTGGACAATATCGGGCAACGGAGGAGCCAGGACTGGGACGTGATAGAATAAAATATGGTATTAGAGCCACTCTACCGTTCGGTGCGAGTGTGCCGACGAGGACGTCGGGCCCCTAAGGGGGGTGGATTGTAACATCCCACATCGACCAACGGAGGTGGGGGTGATGTGCCTTATATGTACATGCCCACCTCTATATAGCATGAGACATTTTGGGAACTCACTGGTTTCGGATTCCATCAGAACTCCGAAGTTAAGCGAGTTCGGGCGAGAGCATTTCTTGGATGGGTGACCCATTAGGAAGTTCTCGTGTGAGTTCCCAGAAACAAAACTGTAAGGGCGTGGCCGAGGCCCAAAGCGGACAATATCATGTTAGGACAGAGCCGATCTGAGATGTGACATATATGTTCTATTTTTCTCATTTAATTAGACTAAAAATAATTAAGCTAACTGACACATTTTTTACTTATATTTGAGGATATCAAACCTTGTACTTAATCTATACTCTTATCATTTTATACTCATTTTCACCAGTAAGCTAAACCCCCCAAGTAATGTACGCAATAAAGAAATTATATATATACTAAAAGAGAAAATGAACTGAAACACTGTTCATAAGCACAGTGTTGTTCCGGTTTTACCCCCTATTTTTTCCCCCTTTTTCAACTTTTCCCTTTTGTCTTGCTGTCAAGTGCAGCAGCATTCTCAAACACGTGGGATCCCGTTCCATCGACATGTCCTGCCTACCCCCTTCTCGCTCTTGCTCACCGCTCCATGTCGCTTTATCTCCTTTGTCGCTCACAATCATCGCAAAAAACCTCAAACCATCAAATCCATTTTCACAATTTCTCTCAGAATCGGCGCTTTTCCCTCGCTCACCGCTTCATCGTCAACAAATCTCAACCGTAGCCGCACTACAAGCCCATATGGACGGAAAACCCATGAAGAAATCTTGGTCGTCGGCTGACAACTGAACTGCAACATCGTCTTGACTCACCCTAGCATCAGTAGATTCTAACTTCAAACCTTCTCCGACCCTTCTACCCAAAAGCTTTCTCATCGATTTATCATCAGGTAAGATACTGGAGTTTTTATTTGGCATTTGATTGAAGTTTTCTGTGCATAAAATAAGAAAACAAACTCAAACCGCCAAACTAATTAACATATAAAATTCTACAAATTCTCTCACACTTAATCGAATCGATCTCAATTGTTAAGGTTTTAGGGTTTCGGTCTTCAAATTTCGGCAAATGATTTCTGTCTGAACACTGGCGACAAAATATGTAAAAAAAATGATATTCTTCTCAACATATGTAGATAATTTCATTGGATGAATTCGTCCATGCACCTTAAATTTTATGTTTGCTTAGTATATGTTTTCATAATTAGATCATATCAAGCTCTATTCATGTCCACTTCTATTCCTAAGAGCCCGTCTTTTGTCAATGGCGACAACGGAGGCTAGGCCTGAAGCCAAACCAGAACCAAAAGAAATCGAAGAGAGTTCTGAACCTCTTCTCAAATACAAGGTAAACAAAACTAAAATATCCTTTTTATGAACACCAATCAGCTTCTTTGCCCGTTAGGTCCATTGTTCTTCATTTTGTATGTCTTTCGAAGGATATTTGAGGATAGAGATTTAATACTCCTTAATTTGGGATTTCTGTGTTGTAGATTTTGCAACAGCAGTTGCATGGGAGTCAGGGAAGCCGTTGGTGATGGAGAGGGTGAAGGTTGCTCCACCTAAGGCCATGGAAATGAGGGTAAAGGTCAAAGATACCTCAGTTTATTACACTAAACTCTACTCTGCCGAAGGTCAGCAATAATAGCTACTACATAATATATACATATATGTGTGTATATATATGTGTGATTTTATATGATTAACCCTTGAGAATTGCAGATTTGTAAACTATGAGTAGAGTTTTCTGGGCACATTTACTTCGAGTGAATACATTGGTGTTCATTCTGGTCATCTTTCCAAAATTAAGCCCCTTGCTCAGTTGGACAAAGTTTACATCCTCAGTTGTGCCATACCGACAAGTTTGGTGTCCTACTCAATGCTTTAGAGCCTTGAATTATGCATCCTAAACTGATACTACACATTGATTCGTTTGCATTATACTGGATATTTTGTTTTTTTAATATTTGGTTTGGGTGCCCCTCTGAATGTAGCTAAAGGAAAAATTATCCTCAGTTGCTGTTTATGGCCTCGCTGTAAGTTTGGAGAAACTTTGTTGATCCCAAATTCTTTGTTCTAATAAATTGCATTTATTTTCTTTTCCATATTTATACTGATACATGCTTGATCTAGGCTACTAAAGGTGCAAGAATTTTTGGTGCGCGACTGAGTATAGGGGTGGAGTCGGTGGACTTGAAGCCCAAGAGGTTTGACAAAGGTATTTAATTTTTTATTTTTTACATTTGGATTTGGTTTAACAAGTAGTTTAGTGGAAAAACACATAAAAATACTTTTGCTTAAACATTCTTTTCCTGGTCATAACTAAGAAATTTGGAGTAAATGAATTTGTGAATTCGAGTTACAATGACAAACCAGTGCACGAGATGAAAAATGATTTGCTATTGTTATTATGTGTTGGACATGAATCAACATAGATAGTTAAGTTATAACTTTAACTTATATTTTTATTTTCTTTTGCTTCTCATCTACCCAAGTCTACAATGTACATGCAGCTAAAGAGAAGACCGAGACATCAACTAGTGCAGAAGCTCCTGATAAGACTAATTGCATATAACACTACAAATGAGCACCACAAATTTAAGCTTCATGTTGGTATGTGATTTCCACTCCATCTCATCTTTTTTTTTTTTAATGTCAGTTAAATTTTCAAACCTTTTGTACGTATCAAGTAATTCTCCACATAATTGAATAATGGCCCTTTTTTTTGTTTCTCTTTTTCGCCCTCCATCAATTCATTAGTTAAATAGATGCTTTGTATATATATGAAAACTTGGTTTTGATAGGCACCAAAAGTTTGGCCATAATAATTTGTCGTTACAGTAAGATTAATGATTTAATGGGGTTGTGTTTAATTTTTTTGGAGTTTAAATTAAAGGGTTGAGCTTGATGGCTTTACTCTTTTCTTTTTTGTCTTTCCATTGCTGCATTACGTGTAAAATTCAAATGGGTTCTTCAATTATTTTTTTTTTAGTTTTTTGGAGGTTTCTTGGGTTGTTGATGCACAAAACCAGAGGGTCTTGGAACAACGTAAATCCGATCGTGAATCTGCAAGAAAGTAAAGAACACAAGATATATTGTGGTTCACCCTAATATTTGGGCTACGTCCACACTGATGTTGATATTGTTTCACTCTGAATGGTGAATATACAAGAAGGCTAGAGGCAATGTGCTCTCTAGCCTATTTTCTCCCTTCCCATGGCCTAAATCTTGACCTCCCCTAATGAGGATAGTGAGGAGTCCATTCATAGAATAAGGGATCCTCACTTATTACATATTTGCCCCTTCATTTATCACATAATTACATTTGAGTCCCCCGAGTATTTATACGAGATATAAATACGGAGGCCCTAAGTATGGTACAAACAGTAGTCCCCCAAGTCTTTATTCAAGAGAGTCTTTTGGCTGGAGACTTGAAATTCAATCCATGTGTGGGCCAAAGTAACTAGATGTCGTCTAGAACTGAATACTCGATATGAACCGCACGTCGACGTGACTCCTCTCGGACTCTTTCACCAGAAAAGAGTTATTCTTCTTCACTATCTCCCATATCAGTTGCCCTAGAACTGTCGCCATCTCCGAGATTTTGATTCAACTGCTCAGATTGGGGATTTAGGGTTTACAGAAGAGAGAGGAGAAGCTGGGGTTTATCATTCGATGAGCCTGCGAGCGTCTTCGGGGGAAAGCTTAGGGGCGGAGGTAGGATCTGTGTCCAGAACGACACCATTCTTGTCCAGCTTTCACTTCTTAGTTGGGTCCATTGGTAGAAGAGCAAGGTTAAACCCTAACCCTTGGGAAAAGAAACAAAGAGTCTAGAGAGAGCGAGTTGGGATTTTTCTGTTTACTAGCAGAGAGAGGCTAGGCTCTTCCTGTCTGTGGTCCTGTGGAATGTGGAGGTAGAAGGGTCGGAGTTTGGGGTTTGGTTTGCTTGGGTTTTTGCAGATTCACGGTGGAGTGTGGTGAGGTTTCACGGTGGTGAGATGAAAAAATGAAAGAGAACGGACATAACTTTTCGTGTTGTTTCACACAGACGGTGCCAAATGTTGATGCACAAAATCGGAGGATCTTGGAACAACGTAAATCCGACCGTGAATCTACAAGAAAGTAAAGAACACAAGATGTATCGTTGTTCACCCTAATGTTTAGGCTACGTCCACACTGATGTTGATATTGTTTCACTCTGAATGGTGAATATACAAGAAGGCCAGAGGCAGTGTGCTCTCTAGCCTATTTTCTCCCTTCCCATGGCCTAAATCTTGACCTCCCCTAATGAGAAGAGTGAGAAGTCCTTTTATAGAATAAGGGCTCCTCACTTATTACATATTTGCCCCTTCATTTATCACATAATTACATTTGAGTCCCCTGAGTACTTATACGAGATCTAAATACGGAGGCCCTAAGTATGGTACAAACAATTGGTTTTTTATGGTGAGTTCACGACTTGGTTTAGCTTATTTTTCTGTCTCCAAATATAAGTTATTAGATGCTTTTCTTTGTTTTCCTGTAATTTTTAAACTTATTTTTTGTTATTTAGTGTGAGAAAATGGCTTCAAAATTGGAATTTCCATTATCTGGGCAAGGGAAAACAGGAAGAGAACACCAATAGTGGTGACGATGGAGAATCCTTTCTTTGCGGTGGAAATCGACGGTCTATGTGCAACATTTAGCCCAGTTCATAAGAGCAGTGGTCAAAATGAAGAACCAATGACATGGGGATTTGTTTAATTTTATCAAGTTTTGTACTGAGGTAAAACTTCCCCCATTTAACATAGTTTTAAATGCTGATTAGTATGTGTGTGAATTGGACTGTGAGTATGGTTGTATATATGTAATAGTAGAATTAGAAACATTGTTGTAATTATGTGTAACTAGAGTTGTAAACCCACGCATAACACGGGCTTTTTTGCTTGTTATTACTAATTGACTATTAATAAGAAATCATCATGTTCTCTCATCTGGAATATGATCAACAATTTATCATCTTCTCTTTGGCAGCCCTACATGTGACCTCTGATTTCTACCAGTGCAACCAACTTACCCCATCCCCACCCCCAAATCTGATCCAAAGCAACCAAACCAGGGCCTACCAAGACAACAACAAAACCTTAGACGGAGCAAAACCCACAAAGCCCATTCTTTAAAGAAATGGCATGGCTGTAAATAAACTGAAATCCACCCCAAAACACTGTTCATTAGTATAGTGCAATTTCATCCCTTACTTTAGACTAAATTAATGTTGATACTCCTAATACCTCTACTTAAAAAAATAAACAAAAAATAAAAAGAAGAGTCCAAAAATGAAACTTGTGTTGTGATCTATTTTATCTGACAATATTTAGGGTGGCCGGCGGCAAGGAGAAGAGAGAAAAAGGAGATGTGTTTATGGAATTGTAGAGGAATGTGTGTTGTTATCTCTTCTACATTGTGCCTTTATTTATAGTAGTAGAAGGAGAGAAGATATTCCTTTTTCCCCAAGTAATACAAGTTGTAATAGGAAATGATAACTAGAATCAAATCTAATCTAGGATTTACACAATCACACTTAAACTAGGAATGTTTACAACACTCCCCTTTGAGTGTGTAAATACTCAAGGTAGATTTAGTATCATGCAGAAGTTGAGGAAGTCGACTCATCGATACTAATTCCAAGGAATAACACTTATTCTCAATAAGGTAGGAACTTGCATAAGTAGTAAGTCACACTAAAAAAACCCTAAGGCTATGGCAAAAACCCAAGGAGGGATAAAATCCGTAGTCTAAGGAAAAATGCGTGAGAAATGCAAAGTCAAAGAAACGTCTACGGGATGTCATCAGGGATATGACCAGCCTAAGGTGGGTGCCTCGTTAAAACCTAGTTAGGTAGTAAAAACCCAGTAGGAAAAATACTCATAATCATAGGGGAAAAGAGTACATTAAGATCAAGCAAGTATCTACAGGATACTCCCTCAGAGTTTGACATAATTCCCAAGAGAAATAGCAAAGTTACAACTCTGAAAGTTTACGCATACCAATTCCATGAACAAGCTTCTGAAACGTCGTCTTCGATAGTGATTTGCTGAAGAGATCGGCCAGATTGTCTTGTGAACAGATTTGCATCACTTTAATCTTTTGATGCTCTTATTGTTGATGTGTAAAGAAGAACTTCGACGCAATGTGCTTGGTGTTGTCTCATTTGGTGAAGAGATCGGCCAGATTGTCTTGTGAATGACCATTCATAAGAGTCCCCGAAGACTTCGCTTTATCCTCATTAAAGTGGCGCAACACCTTCTGTGTGTAGTTTGATTGCTGTACTAAAATTTCATCCAAACAATGCTCTATCTCTATACCGAGACAATATCAAGTCTTACCTAGATTTTTCATCTCAAATTCTGACTTCAGGTGCGCGCCAATTTTCGCGAGCTCTTCAGGAGTTCTGATAAGATTCATGTCATCGACATATATTGCAACAATCACAAATCCGGAATGTGACTTCTTAATGAACACACAAGGTTATAATTCATTGTTCACATATCCCTAACTAGTCAAATACTCACTCAAATGGTTATACCACATTCTTCCGGATTGTTTCAAATCATAGAGTGAAAGCCTCAGCCGAATTGAGAGTATGTTCTGGGGTTTAGAAATATTTGAACCAATCAATGTAAGTCCTTTGGGAACTTTCATATAGATTTCCATATCAAGATCCCCATAGAGATACTACGTCCATCAGCTGCATATCCAGTTTTTCGGAAACTACCAAACTGATAAGGTAGCGAAAAGTAATCACATCCATAACGAGTGAATAAGTTTTGTCATAGTTAATCCCGGAGCGTTGTGAGAAGCCTTGTGCAACAGGATGAGCTTTTTAATGCATAATTTCATTCTTCTCATTACTCTTCCGAATGAAAACCCACTTGTAGGCAACGGGCTTCACATGTGGAGGAGTAGGAGCTATGGGTCCAAACACTTTACATTTCGCAAGCGAATCGAGTTCGATTTGGATTGCTTGTTTCCAGTTTGACTAATCAATTCTACGTCGACATTCATCAACGGAACACAATTCAATGTCAACGCTCAACATGATCGTAGTAGCTACTACAAATGTTAATGCATCGTCGATAATCATCTCATTTCTACGCCACACATTATCTAAGCTAGCATAATAGACCGAAATCTCATGATTATTGGGAAGAGGATTCGTCTTTTCAAGGATGCTTCCATAATCTAGAATTTCCTCATGAGTCGAGTAGAATGAGTAAGCAATAGTCGGATTCACGGTAAGTTCTTCAGGACCTTGTGTCGTGGTTTTCCTCTTCCGGGGGTGTGAATCCTTTAAACCAAGGGGTCTGCCATGCTTTTGTGTAGGGTAGATGATTGCCTAGCCGCTAATGTACATGGATAACCAATATTGGCATCCCGGGCTTCCAGGAGGGTAGTCCGTTGTACATTGGTACATCCATCTTTGCAGGCGTATTCGCACGTAGAATATGTGATCTTGTCACTCGCGCTAGATCGATGAAAGCATCTGGCATGCTCTAGAGATCTAATATGTGCTGCACTTTAGTTTCAGACTGAGTGGTGCGGCGATCTAAATGAGACAAAGTAGGAGTCGTCCATGATAATTCGCGTCGTTCTTCAGGAACAATGACGTTCTTATCTCCCCCCAACGACAGGAAGATTGTCTTATAGAAGTGACAATCCACGAAACAAGTGGTAAACAGATCGCCTGTCAAAGGTTCTAAGTAATGAATAATTGAAGCAGAATCATATCCAACATAGATTCCTATCCTTCGTTGAGGCCTCATTTTTGTACGTAAGGGCGGAGAGATTGACATATATACCGCACAACCAAAAATACGTAGATGCGATATGTCAGATTCCTATCTGGTAACCAACTGAAGGGTACTAAATAGTTGTGTCGTAACAGGCCTGAGGCAGACCAACTTTGTTACGTGTGATATTGCATGGCCCTAAGCAGCGATCGGGAACTTGGTACGTATGATCAACGATCGAGCAATCATTTGTAAGCGCTTAATGAAAACCTCTGCCAGGTCGTTCTGGGTGTGAACATGGGGTACAAGATGTTCAACTTCAACCTCAACCGACATGCAATAGTGATCAAAAGTTTTAGATGTGAATTCTCTAGCATTATCCAATCGAATAGATTTGATTGGATAATTAGGGTGGTGAGCCTTGAGCTTGATAACCTGAGCCAACAGTTTAGAGAATGCAGTGTTCCTTGTGGACAACAAACACATTTATGACCAACGCGTGGAAGCGTCAACCAAAACCATAAAGTATCTAAATGGTCTGCAGGGAGGGTGAATCGATCCACAAATGTCCCCTGAATCCGTTGTAGAAAAATGGGAGGATTCGAATGAATCTTGTCATAAGAAGGCTTAGTAATAAGCTTTCCCATCGAACATGTTTGACATGCGATTCCTTGGATCGAACCTAAACTTCAGGTTAATGGATGCCCGTGTGAAAATTTGAGGATACGGCGAATCTCTATTCGTCCATGATGTCCCAAACGATCATGCCAAAGTGTAATTTCGTGCGCGATCCCATTAGTAAGGCCAGCCACATAGTGGCATTCAATGGGGAGTATGGTCGTAGTATACAGACCACTCGGAATACGCTTCATCTTATGTAGAATACGCTTCTGGCCATATTCGTAGAAAGTTATGCATAGAAATTCAACTTCGTTTTCTTCGTGGGTTTCAGCGTGGTAATTGTTGTCTTTAATGTCCTTGAAACTTAACAACATTCTTTCGGAACGTGGAGAATAGAGTGCCTCATAAATGGTCAAGATTGTACCATTAGACAACATTATACGTGCCTTACCGTATCCTTCTATCAGGTTGGATGAGCCTGAGAAGGTTGTCAAAGATGCATTCTTAGGTGTGAAGTTAGTGAAATAGATGTGTTCACGCAAAACTGTGTGCATGGTTGCACTATCTGCCAGACGACTAACTTTCCCACTAGTTATACCTAGAATGAAAAATTAATTTGAATCAGTCACTTGCATAAAAGTTTATAAAAACAATTATCAATTCAAAATAATTTCATTTATTCAAGGATTAAAAACTTAATATCCATAACAAATCATCAACTAATAATCCAAACATAAAGGAAAATTGTTCAAAAATCAACCAAAAACAAATGAGGGGTTCGGCCACTAGGTGGAATTCGGCCCCAATTGTCTTATTTCAACTCCCAATTGTCTTATTTCAACTAAAAATAAGTCTATGTCTAAAATTCTAATCTTCCATAGGGGTGGTATCCACCTGAAAATCAGAAACCTTCATCTTTGTAGTCTCCGGTTCGTCCACTTGCATGAAGTTTGATTCAAACTTCTTACGACAAGAATTGTATTCATCTACAACCTTCTTGGGAGCTCGGCAAACACGGGACCAATGGTCCTTTGAACCATAACGATAACACATGTTCGCATCCATGGTTTCAGGTGCTTTGCCCTTATTCTTGAAGTTCGGGGCCTTGGGAGCAATGTTTGGGCGCTTCTGGGCTTTGTTTCCTCCCTTGGATGGGCCTTGACTTTGTTAACCTTGGTGGGATGGCTTATGGCTGCCCCTATCACGCCCCATTTGGCGTTTTGGGCGTTGGTGATTGCTATAATGTGCTTCAGGCACAGCAGTCACCCTAGTAGGCCGAACCTGATGATTCTTCATCACCGGCTAGTTCTGCTTTTCAGCGAGAAGTAAAACATAGATCAAATCAGAAAACTTGGTGAACTTCTGAGCTCTATATTGTTGCTGCAGAACAATATTAGAAGCAAAAAAGGCTGAATAGGTCTTTTCCAGGAGATCATCTTCAGTCAAAGTTTCATTGCAAAACTTAATAAGTGATCGAATTCGACAAACTTCATAATTATATCCATTCACAAACTTAAAGTCTTGGAAACGCAAATTCTGCCAGTCGTGTCTTGCTTCAGGCAAGAATATGTCCTTTTGGTGA